ACAGGCAGTCTGGGTAAGATGGCCCCTCTGAGCAGTGCTGGGACCCTGTTTAGATTTGGAGGGAGAGCGGGTGGTCAGCATAGGCACAGGCAGTCTGGGTATGATGGCCCCTCTGAGCAGTGCTGGGACCCTGTGTAGATGTGGAGGGAGAGCAGGTGGTCAGCATAGGCACAGGCAGTCTGGGTAAGATGGCCCCTCTGAGCAGTGCTGGGAACCTTGGGAATACTCTTGAAGTCTAAGTTCCCAGACACCAGCCCAGGGCTGACCTTGAAGCAGTCCTGTCTCAGGCCTGCTGTATCATCTTTTGTTTGCACAAAGGCTACTCATACCCACAGCATAATACAGAGTAAGACAGATGCCTGTGCTACATCAACTAATATAAATGGGTTACATTCTCATTTTAAAAGGAAATGATGCCCTGTTGGCTTAATGAGWTAGTTCAGACTGCAGTTATGAGTTGTTAAACCAATAAGCATAACCATGTTTATCYCACTCATACTAAATATTCAGATCAAAGAACAGATGAGGAAAGGGACATTTTAATAATGCTAGAGACAATTTTCAAAGAATATATGAGTTTTGAATATTTATCCACCAAATAAATTGATCTCAAATTTTATTTTTTAAAAAAACTGCAAGAATTGTAAGAAGAAACATGACCATATTAAATACAGTAGATCTTTTTTTTTTGAGCACAACTTTTCATTTCTCCAGTTGTAGGATACAGTAAATCTTCATATTCCTCTGTGATTTCAGTAGCACAGCCAGTGATACCACTTGACTCTCTAGAATACTGCTCAGCACACTGCACCCGTCAGCACAAACCCTGCCTGCTGCCTGTTTTGGTGAAGAGAGAGAGATTAGAACACAGCCATGTCTGTTCATGGCTTCTTGCTACAAGGCAGAGCGGAGCCATTGCAGCAGAGGCCACGTGACAAGACAGCCAGATCACTCACTCTCCTCCCTCTCACTGAAAAAGTTCACTGACCCCTTGCTCCAGAATTTATAAGTCAGCATGTTTCATTAAGATTAAATTGACATGTTTTTCAACTCTCTACTCTGAAAACAAAGAATAAACCTCTTAAAACCACCTCGGAACACTGACAAAATGTAAAAGTATTTTAGGGAAATGTCAGTAAGCGCCAAAAAGTAGAGATATTATTGTTCCATGAAACTAAAATTTGAATACAATATAATTTAATAAAAAGTCTGTCTTGAAATTTAAAAAATGAGCATGTATCTTTAAAAGCATATTTGATTAGAGTAAATCAAAATTTTTCAATATCCAGAAGATTTTTWAAATGAAAAACATGCATCTTGGACAACAGGCAACATTCTGCTTAAAAGAAAAATTTTTGTTTATGTACTTATGTTAAAAAGCAAGAATGTTTTCAAAGAAAAGTCATACTTTTTAAAGATAAAWGTATAATGAGGGGCGGGGTTGTGGCTCAATGGTAGAGCTCTTGCCTAGAATGCACGAGACACTGGGTTCAATCCTCAGCACACATAAATATAAGATAAAGATATTGTGTCCACCTATAACTAAAAGATAAATATTTAAAAAGATAGTAAAACTAAATAAACTATAAACTATAATGATACAAATTGTAAAGCCAAAAAGTGGTTCTCATAATAAAAATAATAAAAATTACTATACATGAAAAGGAGAATGAAGCATTACTACTCATGTTAAATGTTGGCTCAGATTTCTACTCTAATCTTGAAGTGCTGTTATCTCTCTGTAAACTCTTACCTCACTTCGTGGATGTGCGAAAACACAAATGAAACTCTGTGCCAGAGAACACAGTGATTGAGTGAGTTCTTTTACCACCTRGATTATCTAGGGGAGTAAAGCAGGATGTTTCACTCTCCCATACTCCAGCATGTACCACGTAATAAACATTGTAGACTAACTCCAGAGCCTATTGGAAGAGAAATTTCATATTGCTTCATTTAGACAATACTATGTCTTTCTAAATGAAATTACATGTGTGTCAGGCAGGAATTTGGGTTGATTTGGAGAAAGAATGTGAGTAAAAGGGAAATTGATAGAAATGAGCCATGTGTCATTTAAACACTGATGTCTTGGGGTTGGGATGGTGGCTCCGTGGTACAGCGCTTACGTAGCATGTGCAAGGCACTGGGTTTGGTTCTTGGCACCGCATATAAATAAATAAAGTAAAGGTTTATTGACAATTAAAAAATATTTTTTAAAAAGACTGCTGTCTTGTCAAAATGAGAGCAAAGTACCATGGACTAGTGGAGTGGTAGCTCGAATACATAATAGGCATGCAGCTAGTGTAAAGCTTTCTTTTCCTGAATCACATCCCTCTTAGATCTTTTACCTGTTGGTACCTAGGAAAATAAATTCAATGCTTTGAACATTTTTAGCACAGGCTGACATTTTTGGATAGCATATGTGTAGCAGCAGGGCAATTGTATCAAATATATTGCAAGAAATACATGATAAGGAAATGTGAAGTTTCTAGGGCCAGGTTGAAAAACAATCCCTTAAGATTCTGAGTCAATACAAAATAAGTATGTTTTAAAAGTAGATAGCAGAATTAAGGATTGGAGAGGGACAAGACTGGTTTGGGGGAAATGAGTAAGCGAGTTGAAAGAAAATTAACACTTGATGACTAGAAAGGGTAACTGTTAAATGTCTCTGATGTAATGATACAGTCCAGTCAGGAAATGACTGACTCCTGTCGGTTCCRCACTCCAGTTTCCCATTTGTGTTCCCATGACGCTACTGTGGAGGGAATTAAAGCTTGGCCTGTGGGACGACTTCTTCCCACATGAGGAAATTGATGCCATTATAAATTATGTTGGTGTTGAGACGCAGAATGGAAAAAACAGCTATAGCCAGAATAGGCTAATGGTTGTCCTCTCTTTGTAATCTGTATTTGACTGAGTGAGAACCTAGATCTGGTGTTCCTCCCTGATGTAAACCCTGCTGTGCACTGACTTTCTTGTTGTTACTCTTGTCATCTACTTAGTGCTGAYACTCTTTGTCAARTTCTTCACATTTCCCCATTTTTGTCTCCCAGRATCTCAACTGTCTTAAATAAACTACATTCTCAGCTGTTCCTTTCTTTTATATCCTTTTCTCTACTCACTTTTGAAAATTATATTTTAAGATGCCAAGTGCATGTGTGTGTTCATTTTTGTTTTCCTCCCTTTTACTACCAAAAAAAAAAAAAAAAGCTTTTTTGAAGGGGAAAAAAAGGTACATAAAGAGTATATATGTCAAATTGTTGGGAAGCTAAGCCAGAAACCACAGAATCAGATGTGTAATAGAGCTTATGTATATGTGTCCCATTCGTAACGGCTGTGTTAAGTACAAAAATACTTTAACTATTTAAAAAGTATTTTTATTTTTCTCATTTTTAGAAGACTCACAACCTGATAAAGTCTCAGAAAAGAGCCCAGAAAATCAAGGCAAACGTTTGTGGCAAGTTTTGTTCACCAACAGATCATTGACTACAGAGCAAGAAATTCCAGAGAAACCATGTAACCTGGAAATAAATATTTTCCCTGCAAGAATGATGCCTTATCAGTGTATTGCTTCTGGGCCTACTTACCCGAGCCTCAGCCTTTTGGCCTCACGCTGTCAGTATTCAAGAGGAAAGACTTGTGAGCTTAACTTGTATGAGAGGTGGCTCCTCAGTATTAAGGGTCACACAGCTAATCTTGGAGAGGAGTCTTTTGTTAGCAGTAAGAATGTGAGAGCTCTTCAYTGTAAGGAGGAAGTTATTCAGCTTCAGACAATTCAGAATTTCGGGCAGGATTTTCAATATAAAGAACRAGGTAAAACTTTACTTGAAAAGGCTGCCCTCATTACTTCTCCTGTGGTCCACCAAAAGGTGAAATTGTATAAATTCAGTACGTTTGGAGAAAACCAAGGCGACAGATCCACCTTTTTCATCTCCCAGAGCATTCATCCAAAGGACAAGAGTCACAATGAGCTTAATGAAAGCAGGAATAGTTTCAGTAGGACCACCCAAAGAACTGACACAGGAGGAAAACCCTTTGGCCACAAATCCCACATGAGAGGACAGCAGAGAATTCACTTTGAGGTGAAGCACTTTGAATTTGAAAAAAATTTCAGCCATAATTTACCCCCGCGAGTACATCAGAGAACCCACACAACAGATAAACCCGCTGAGCTTAACACGTGTGCAGAAACATTAAGCTGCCAACCAACTTTTAATGAGCATCCAGGAACCCACGTAAGGGTGAAACCCTGCGAGTGTGATGCATGTGGGAGATCCTGCTCTCCGGATTTATGCCTGATTCGGCCTCAGAAAAGTCAGARTGGGGAGAGACCTTATGGATGTCCTGACTGTGGGAAAGCTTTCAGTGAGAAGGCACGCCTAAGGARACATCAGAGAACTCACACAGGAGAGAAGCCCTACAAATGTGACGCATGTGAGAAGTCTTTCAGTGCAAAGTCAGGCCTCAGAATCCATCAAAGAACCCACACAGGGGAGAAACCCTTCGAATGCCRTGAGTGTGGGAAGTCCTTCAACTATAAGTCAATCCTCATAGTACACCAGAGAATGCACACGGGAGAGAAACCCTTCGACTGCAGTGAATGTGGCAGATCTTTCAGCCACATGTCAGGCCTTAGGAACCACCGGAGAACTCATACAGGGGAGAGACCCTATCGATGTGATGAGTGTGGGAAAGCTTTCAAACTGAAGTCAGGCCTAAGAAAGCACCACCGRACACACACAGGGGAGAAGCCCTACAGATGCAATCAGTGCGGAAAAGCTTTCGGACAGAAATCACAGCTTAGAGGGCACAACAGGATTCACACAGGGGAGAAACCCTACACCTGCAGTCACTGCGGGGAAGCGTTCAGTCAGAAGTCAAACCTCAGAGTACATCACAGAACTCATACTGGGGAGAAACCCTATAAATGTGAGGAATGTGGGAAAACCTTCAGGCAGAAATCCAATCTCCGAGGACACCAGAGAACTCACACCGGGGAGAAGCCCTATGACTGTAATGAATGTGGAAGAGCTTTCAGTGAGAAGTCAGTCCTGAGAAAGCACCAGCGGACTCACACGGGGGAGAAACCCTACACCTGTACTCAGTGTGGGGAAGCGTTCAGTCAGAAATCAAACCTCAGAGTACACCAGAGAACTCACACAGGAGAGAAACCTTACAAATGTGATGAATGTGGGAAGACTTTCAGCCAGAAATCAAGCCTYAGAGAACATCAGAAAGCCCATGCAGGATTGAATGTAGGAATGTAAAGAAGATGGGAAACATGGGCAGTCTCTCACCCAGAGTGCTGATCTCATCGATATCACAGAACCTACCCAGCAGAGAAACGCTAGAAAGATAATGACTATAGGAAATATTCTGTGAATTCAATCCTCAAAAAGCGCATGTTGTAGAAAAAGCTTCAAGAAACTAATAAAAACATGAAATTTTTATGTAGGCAATCAAAACTAATTCATCATCAGAGAAATCACAGAAAGAAAACCTAGAAAGTAATAAATGTGTGATAACCTTTAGCCAAAGGTTATCTTTCTCAGTTTAGCCCAGAATATTTAAAAGAGAGAGACCTAACCACACATCAAGACAGACAAGGAATGCAGGTGACGGGTATGGGCAATCCTGCCATAGTCAACCCCCAGTTTGACTTATACAAAGGTAGTCTCCCTCATCTAATTACTAAATATGTTGACCAGTAGCCATGTCCTCTTCTGTCCCGTCCTCCATCTAGACATAATTTCTCAACCACTCTCACCAAAGGAAGTCATATTGTTAACTTCCAGCTAATAGAATGTAGGGTTCAGGGACAGACGAGTCTCATTAAATACATCTCTCAAATTTTCTATAATTCCTCTGGTTTCTCACCAGAGTGGGGTAGATATTACTTCTAGGGAAAAGTTGGAGTTCACACACTAGGATGAAGGCGTACCTGATGGTAAAACCAGGGTCAAGGAAGGACCGTGTGAATGGGGTTCCTCCTCCACATACTCAGTTGGGTGTTTCATATCAAGAAAATAAACTTGTTCTCTGCTGAAGTTCTGCAAGGTTTGGTATACTTGGCAATGACCTAAACTCACCAACCCTTACTTAATAAAATGTAAGCATGTGATTTCTGTGGACGTAAGAACAACTTATGTTTTCTGTGTATCRGAAAAGTCCCTTAGGAAACCTGACAGTATCCTGAATGGCCAGAGCTTCTGTCCAAAACTCTTCTTTATCAAACAGGAAAATATTGGAAGTAGAAATAACAGTATTTTAACACACACACACAGGAAATCTACAAAGAAAGTGGTATAAAAAATTTGTGATAATTGAGTTTTGAATACATGAACATTTCAATAAGACATCAAACTTTATTATGTCTCAGAGATACAAAGGGAGTCAATTTTGAGAAAGGTAGGTAATAGCCTTTATTTAGAAATTTTATATCAAAACTTGTTCATATGAAATATGAAAATATCTAGTAAAATATACAATATTGATTCATTCACATTCACTAGTACAAAAAAAAGCTTAAGAAGAACAAAAAAAGGGCTGGGGTTGTAGCTCACTGGTAGAGCATCCGCCTAATGTGTGAAGCAGTGCGTTTAGTTCTCAGCACTGCATACAAATGAATTAAATAAATTTTTTAATTAAATAAATTGCATAARCTAAACAAAAGCATTGCATGTACATGAGTGTTTTCTGAGGTGTCATTTATATATGGATATATGCATGCCACTTGCCAGGCATTTGTGAATTTAAATCCAACATAATTGGAATGGAATCATGTACCCCCTGCTTAATAACTATTCTGACATCAGCTTCAATTTGCCATATGTATATTAATAATAAATCTTGTACAGCAAATATCTGAAAATTGAGAGTGCCAGACCACGTTCCCTGCTGCCTTCTGATGTGCATATAGGAAGAGCCATTGTTCCTAAAAGTTTTCAGTACCTTATTACAGAGTCATGATACACGTAAAACACGGACACACATACATGTGCTTTCAGCATCACTGATGGCTTCCTTGGCCATGTTGAGTATATCAGTGGGCCCTTTTATTGCACTTTTTTTTATTTCTAGGATTTTAACTTTATTTCCAGGATTTTAATTGTATTTCTAGGATTTTAATTTTATTATCATTTCCATCTCTCTGCTGGAATTACCTGTCTGATCCTGCATGGTGTCCATCTTTTCCATTATAGTCGTTTTATGTGGTGGTTGGCATCCTCTGAGGTAAGCAACAGTTTGGGTCCTTGTTTTTCTCTGAAGCCAAAGAGCTCTCCAGAATTGGGGGTTAGTTTTTTTTTGCCATGTGACCTCACACCGTATCTGTACGTTCAAGAAAAGTTGTAATCTTTCCAGCTGTTTTCTTTCTGTACAGATAGGAATAATACTCTGTCCTGCTCCCTACTTCCCTGAAGTATAATGGAAAATCATTAGTTAATCTTTAAGAAATGTTTCAGGGTAGTTTGAAGAAGAAAGATGATTTTTTTCCCAAAACTGGTGCTAAAATAACTGTATATGCATTTATATCTCTTACACTGTAATTTGAAATGTACTTAGAATCATATATGCAAACATTATAGCTAAAGTACATTTTTTTAGAAAACTGAAGAAATTGCATTTGAGGTGTGCAGAAATTTTAAGGTAGAATTTTAAAAAGCTTGAAACATAAAGAGTAAAAAATTGGGGGATGAATTAAATTTTAAAACTTTAGCTTTTTAAATTTTAACATGAAAATGAGTAAGGGAACCACAGACTGAGACACTCTAGTAGGTGTATCTGACGAAGTTCTCACATCTGTGTTAAAGAATGTTCATTATATGGACTATGGTGTGTGCACTTAATTCCGTTCCTCACCCTGTCTTCTCACAAGACTTTTGAATCAAGGGGTTCCTAGCCAAGAGACACAGCAGAATCTTTGCATTCCCCAGTGAGTTCCAATGAATACTGACAATAAAACCAGGTGCAATTCCAAGAGGAGACGTTGGAGGAGAACCAAGCTGAGTCTGGAAGGAATTACACATGAAATGATACATGTATTTATGCCGTATCAAGGTTATGATCTCCTTGTCACATCAAGCTGAAAAGGTCCCCTTATTGGGACAGTTGAGAATGTATAACTGGGAATGTGATCTTTTGGTTAGTCACGAAGGTGCTGTAGTCATGAAGTCATGTAATCATATAGTCATGAAGGTGGTTTTGATTGGTTTGGTAATAAATATTTGAAATTTTGGAAAAAAMGTTTGATGTAATAAAAAAAGTCAGATAAAACTAGCAATGAAAGGAAAAGGTCAAAATAAGCATTTCCCGAAAGTTACGTAGGAGGCCCACAAGTACAAGGAAAGATAAAATTATAATGTGATACTGTGATCTATTTGTTAGCTCCTCAAGAAGGTAATGATACCTACAACCAGCAGTTTCTATTCTAAAAGCAGAGAATTGTTCAAAAATGTCCATGTAGTCTGTACTCACAGTAACCCCAAATTGGAAAGAAATGCAGGGTCTGTCAACAGAAAAATACACACACAGCAATATTACCTTATAATGGAATTCCACTCACCAACAAAAGAAGGATCTACTAATGCAGATAACAACATGGATACATCTCAATAAGAATGCTGAGCCAGGCACAAGTGGGTAGAACCATATGTCATTCTATTTATGTGAAATCTAGGAAAGACATAACTAATTTAGAGCAAGGTTTGCCTTGGTGAGAATTTACTGAGTCCAGTTAAAAAAAATGTTTTTGTCTAATGAGATGATATATATCTAGATTGTGATAGTGTTTACAAAGCTGTATGAGTTTTCATAGCTCCTCAAAATGTACTGAAAATGTGTATATTTTACATTCTATGAATCATGCCCCAGTACAGTTGATTTTAAAAATCACAGAAGTGCCCCATAATGTCTTTTTTWAAAAAAATTATTTATTTGAATATTTATTTTTAGGTGTAGATGGACCCAACACAATGCCTTTATTTTTATGCTCAACTTCGCTAGCAGTCAGAGAAATGCAAATCAAAACCACCCTAAGATACCATCTCACTCCAGTATGATTGGCAGCCATTAGGAAGTCAAACAACAACAAGTGCTGGCGAGGATGTGGGGAAAAGGGTACACTTGTTCACTGTTGGTGGGACTGCAAATTGGTGCAGCCAATTTGGAAAGCAGTATGGAGATTTCTTGGAAAGCTGGGAATGGAACCACCATTT